TGCAGTTTTTTTTTTATTTTTTTTAATAACAACAATAACAACATAAACAGTTAAATGATTCCAGAAAGAGACCACAGGGGTAAAAAGAAATCTATAAGTGTGTGGTATCCTAGAAGGCTAGTGACATAAATATGTCCAGAAGGAAAAGAATTATCAGTCGTGTCAAGTGAGATGAGAACTGAGAATTGCTCTTTGAGTTACTACTGTAGAAATCATTGGTGGTTATGACAGAGCAGTTCAGTGGAATGGGGGTGGTGAAAACCTGACACATGTGGGTCCTCCAAAGGAATGAATGGAGAGAAGTTCAAGACACCAAGTACACACAGTTCTTTAAATTCTTTTTTGTAAATGCGAATTTCTTATTAACCTTAGAGCTCTTTTTAATCAAAAGTTTTAAGAATGTTTTATAGTTCTTCAGAAAAAGAATTTCTTAAAAAGGGTAGGAATAATATTTTCAGTGGGAGTTTTTAACAAATGGGATTATTTAATGAAACCTATAGCACAAAAATACAAGGCTACTCCCTCTATAATGATTGCACAAAACTTATAACAGTGCCATTGATTTTTTAGCAAACAATCTTGATTTTATAAAAAGGTAGGAGGAGGAGTAGAATAAAAGGACATATTGTTGCTATAGAGTTTGATAGAAAATGTAAAAACCCCCTTTTAGCAAAGAAAACAGCTGTGGCTTAGTTATGGTTATGTGACTTTTCATAAAACTTTTGTTGCTTTTGCCACTGTTGATACTTTTCTCTTGATATCATGACTATGAACTCCCTTCTTAGAAATTTGTCAAAAATGAAAAAGCTAATATTCCTGACCATGAGGCAGGTTTGAGTAGGTATTTCCTTTTTTTTTGTTTCTCTTTCTTTCTTTCTTTCTTTCTTTCTTTCTTTCTTTCTTTCTTTCTTTCTTTCTTTCTTTCTTTCTTCTTTCTTTCTCTTTCTTCCTTCCTTCCTTCCTTCCTTCCTTCCTTCCTTCCTTCCTTCCTTCCTTCCACTTCTTCTTCCTTCCTTCCTTCCTTCCTCCCTCCCTCCCTCCCTCCCTCCCTCCCTCTCTCTTTCTCTCTCTCTTTCTTTCTTTCTTTCTTTCTTTCTTTCTTTCTTTCTTTCTTTCTTTCTTTCTTTCTCTCTCTTTTTTTTTTTTTTTGTAGGTATTTCTGTAGGTAGTGAATGACAATTTCCCAAGATCTACAGTGGGTGTTTTGAGGAAGCAAGATTTATCCACATATTAAAATAGAGACTATTGGGCGCCTGGGTGGCTCAGTTGGTTAAGCGACTGCCTTCGGCTCAGGTCATGATCCTGGAGTCCCTGGATCGAGTCCCACATCAGGCTCCCTGCTTGGCGGGGAGTCTCCTTCTCCCTCTGACCGCCCCCCCGCCGTCATGTGCTCTCTCTCTCAAATAAATAAATAAAATCTTTTTAAAAAAATAGAGACTATTAATCGTAGGTAATGGAAAACATCAAATGGATTTTAAAATATAAAACATGTATTTACAGTGATTTCCATTTAATATGATTGTTGTTATTGAGCTCTGGACCTCTCAAGTGATTTGTCTGCAATATGAAATCTGATTTAGTGAATTCATCTTAACCATAATTCTTTATATAGTTATTCATATCAAATTTGGCAAATAGAAGAAAAAATTTTAGTGGGTGAAATCTTGAGACATTTATAATAAATCTTCTTTCCATTTCAGGCTACAGCTCTCCCTGAAATAGAAACTTGTTAGAAAGGATTCATCGTGATTAAATTGTTCTTCACTTAAGAACTTATTTCCTTAAAGTTTTTGCTATTTATAATATTTGATCTCAAAATATTGTTGATTGAGTTATTTTTAAATTTCCTTTTTTTTCTCAAGCTTATAGATGTATAATCCCCAGAGGCTATTTACGTCATAATACTAAAAATTTTTAAAAAGTGAGGAAGGAAAAGTGGGTTAAACTTTTCCTTTGGTGCCATTTGTTGCTTTATAAACAGAGGCTGCCCTAGAATTAAGCACAGGAGAGGCTTAGGGTTGAGATCTTGTTGGGCTGGAGGGACTTACTCAGGCGTCACAGTCATATTGCAAACACACCCAGTTTGCTTATATTTCTTTATTGAACTTGGGAGAGAGAGGAAGGTGATCAGGCTCACCCTTGGCAGCACCACTGTGAAGCACTTATCCCATTATTTGGTAGTCCTCCCTTATGTTAAGCCCGATTCTGTAACTTCTCACCTTGGATCCACTGTTAAATTTAATGCTCTTTGAACTTGTACCTATCCTTAAATCAATCCTCACAGGTTTCATGGTTAAAGTACTGTCAAAATCCTTGCAGCTCACAGACCAAGTCACAAGAATTCATGTCTTCTAGACTTCGCACATGCGGTTTGTTCTGTTGTGAATGTGTGCCAACCATGATTCCCTCCATCTTTCCAGATTCTTCCCACATATCAAACCCAGGAATCTAGTCATTCTATCTTAGCCCCTAAGCAACCTGTGCATACATTTTCATGTGGCATTTTCACATATCATGGTGGCTATTTATTTCTATGTATGGTTTCACTGTTGGAATGAGTATTACAGATTTTAAATGCCACATCTTAATGAACCAATAAAATCCTGACACATAGCACACACTCAGTAAATATCTGATGATCAAACAAATGAACAAATAAGCAGAATAGAATGTGTGAATGAATGAGCAAATGAACTAACTCCTTTAAAAAAAAAATTATTGTTATGTTAATCACCGTACATTACATCATTCGTTTTTGATGTAGTGTTCCATAATTCATTGTTTGTGCGTAACACCCAGTGCTCCATGCAGAATGTGCCCTCTTTAGTACCCATCACCAGGCTAACCCAACCTCCCACCCCCTCCCCTCTAGAACCCTCAGTTTGTTTTTCAGAGTCCATTCGTCTCTCATGGTTCGTCTCCCCCTCCGATTTCCCCCCCTTCATTCTTCCCCTCCTGCTATCTTCTTCTTCTTCTTCTTCTTTTTTTTTTCTTAACATATATTGCATTATTTGTTTCAGATATACAGATCTGTGATTCAAGAGTCTTGCACAATTCACAGCGCTCACCATAGCACATACCCTCCCCAATGTCTATCACCCAGCCACCCCATCCCTCCCCCCCCACTCCAGCAACCCTCAGTTTGTTTCCTGAGATTAAGAATTCCTCATATCAGTGAGGTCATATGATACATGTCTTTCTCTGATTCACTTATTTCGTTCAGCATAACACCCTCCAGTTCCTTTTTCTTTGTGTTGATCTAACTATTCAGAAACATCCTTCTAACCTATAGTATATATTCTTCTTCCTATTTTGCTTTTATTTTCTCTCTTTCTCCAAAATCTCAATCACTTGATTGTTGAAAGAACTATAATTTAACCCTTTGATTTTTCATCATTACTGTGTATAATTCAAGTGTGTAGAACATGAAAATTTCTCCCATGAGTCACCCTTATTTCATCCGATAATAACACAATAACACTCTGTGGCAGAAATAAAATTTTATTCATATATAAAAACCCACATAAATATTTACAAAGCCCACACAGAAAGTTCTGAAAGGCATTGAAATCCTGAATATTTCCTTACTTTTTTTTGTAGAGAATTTAAATGAGCTATAATTAAAATAAGTTTCTATGAGCCATATTTTTATTCTTCGTTAGATATTTTATAAGGCCCAAAGCACAAGAACACAGTTTGTACAGGGCTTATTTGCTAGAGAATATGGATAAGAAAAAGATGATACTCAGAGGTTGCAAATGGCAAGATCACATTCCTTTTGATGGCTGCATAATATTCCATTATATATATATATACCACTTCTTCTTTATCCATTCTTCTGTCAATGGACATCTTGGCTCTTTCCATAATTTGGCTATTGTGCACATTGCTGCTATAAACATCGGGGTGCACGTACCTCTTTGGATCCCTACATTTGTATCTTTGGGGTAAATACCCAGTAGTGCAATTGCTGGATCGTATGGTAGCTCTATTTTCAACTTTTTGAGGAACCTCCACACTGTTTTCCAGAGTGATTGCACCAGCTTGCATTCCCACCAACAGTGTAGGAGGGTTCCCCTTTCTCCACATCCCCGCCAACATCTGTCGTTTCCTGACTTGTTGATTTTAGCCATTCTGACTGGTGTGAGGTGGTATCTCATTGAGGTTTTGATTTGGATTTCCCTGATACTGAGCGATGTTGAGCACTTTTTCATGTGTCTGTTGGCCTGAACTAACTCCTTAAGGGAGATATGGCAGAGGAAAAATAGCCTGAGTCCTGTTCCTTAGGAATGCTTTTACTTGGCAAATCATTGCATGAGGGCACTGAATATATCTGAACCTTGTCTTCTCCATCTGTTAAAAAAGGTTTATGTTTCTACCTCTCTGCAGAGGTTTCTGGTAGATAATACATAAAATCTTGTATGTAAAGGTACAAAGTATTATACAAATATAGGATTTTTTTTCACATTCAAAGGCATTATGATATAATCCATGAAAAAAAAAACCAACTCCCAACAAATGACATTAAATAAGGAAAAGGAAGAACAAATGCTAAAGAGCAAGAGATCAGATCAAAAGAGGAGTGAGGCCAAAATTTGCTTTATTGCCCTGAGCACCAGACAAAGAAATGTTAACCTAGGGATTCTAAACTCTGGCTGCACATTAGAATTACCTGGGTATTTAAACCATGTTTTTGCCTGAGGTCTAATTCATCTGGTGTGAGGTAGGGCTCAGTTATGGTATTTTTTTTAAGCTCCCCAGGTGTTTCTAATATACAGCCAGGGTGAGAGCCACTGCCAGGCCACAGGAATTGAAATGTTTCTAGGGAGAAACACTGCATAAGACATGAGATGTTTTAAAAAGATTAATCAGCATGAATAGATATGAGGAGAGGCAAGGGACAGGAATTGAATGATTACAGTGTCAAGGAAACATCATAGATGACAGTAACTGTTTTTTTTTTTTTTTAAGATTTTATTTTTATTTATTTGACAGAGAGAGACACAGCGAGAGAGGGGACACAAGCAGGGGGAGCGGGAGAGGGAGAAGCAGGCTTCCCGCGGAGCAGGGAGCCCGATGCGGGGCTCGATCCCAGGACCCTGGGATCATGACCTGAGCCGAAGGCAGACGCTTAACGACTGAGCCACCCAGGCGCCCGACAGTAACTGTTTTAAGGTTGAAGCTTTTTTCTTTGGAAAGCAAAGGAAACCACTGTGGAGAAATGTGGAAGATAGTCCTTCATAATTAACAGTGATGTTGTTCAGACAAACCTAGGCACATCCCAAGAATTAAACTGACAGAGCAGCCTACACCTAGCAAACTACACCTAGAAGTTACTTAGGTTGCAAGCAGAGGATAAAATGGTCACTGCTATTTGTTTACCCATGAAAAGTTCCTAGAGGAGGTAAGTTTTGAACATGGTTGAAATGATACTGTTTGTACAGAGGACCGGAACAAAAAAAATTTTTTTTTATGTGGAAAGGTTTCTAATAGGGGTTTGGGTTTGAGAGTCATGCCTTCCTAGTCTGTCATATTGCTATTTCCCTTAAACTAACAATGAGATAATTGATTGATATATTTGAAATAGTAATAAAGGGAATCCTAGAATTCTTTTTTGGTGTTTTTACCCCTTTCTGTGTTTAAAATTATTTCAAAATAAGTCTAAAAGAATGTAATATGTTTTAAAAACATTTAAATATATAAAATAGTGGTCTTGAGGTGAAAATATACTGAACTTAACACTAACCTAAAAAATTAATTTGCTTTTTAAAATGTCTTTGATAGTCATTTTCTAACAGATTATTCTTTGGCATGGGGAAAGTAAAACTTCATTAGTTAATTGAAAATGTGCCATACTAGTTTGAAAAAATATTATCTTCCCTACTTATGTCATACAGATATGTTCATATGTTAGTCTTATGAGAGAGGAAAGGTTATATACCAATGGTGAAACTTTTTTGGAAGCACTACAATATCTTTCATTAATGTAGAAGCCTTCGAAATTCCAAAGTTATGCTTAATAAGAAACTGGCAATACTTAAAAATATTCCTTGCCTTGAATCTAATAAGAGATTTAGGAAAGAAAGAAGCAAGGATAACAGGAAGTGAATGATATCTTATTTTCACATAAAAAATCTTGTGAGAAATATGGAAAACAACCATTTTAATATTTTCATGGAGAAAGGTCAGGCCATAATTTAATGTCTTATATTGCACAATTCACATCCTTTCCAAGTGAACCTGTTTCAAAAAATACTTGATATTTGGTACAGAAGAAAAGTGAAGTAATATTTCAAGACATTAAACTTTTAGTTTTTCACTTTGTTTGTTTCAAATATATCATTTATAAAGGCCATGCATGTGGTAGATAAGGTATGAGGTGTGTCCCCGGAAACCTGGGTAGGCAGACCAACCTTGGAAAGAATAGTTTGTATGCCCAGTTTTCCTCACCTGTAAGTGGGGATAATAATAATATCTATGTTGAGATGTGTATGATATATATCAAGCTATACCTCACACAAATAGCACCATGTAAGATATAGCTACTAAAATCATAAGCATGATGATATGGCTTTAAAAAAAGACAGAGTAAAAATAAAATAACTACATTTGAGATTTTTTTTAGTTTCACTTAAAACATTCTGACAATTTGTTTATCCTGGGGACATTTTTAATCTTTTTTTTTTTTTTTTTTTTTTTTTGGAAAAGGCTCCATATTAATGCATGTTCCTATGAGTGTGGACCCTTGCTAGTTCAAATGGTACTCCTTTAATTAGACTCTTAGCAAACAACCATGTCTCTCGATAGACACTCTAAATGTGGAGTAGTTTGTCACAATTATTTGGTAATCTCTTTCAGTGTAACTCACACAACAAAAGTGACAATATTCCTGTCACTCCTCAGAAATGTCCCAGCTCTGCGGGTTTCCACATTCAGGAGAATGAAGAAAGCCATTACGAGGTATGCTGTATCTCTATAGAGACCATGTTAGTACTGAGCAGTTTGTATTTTCCTAGTGATTTATATAGTCTGAGTTAACTATTATAAATATTTTCTTTGCCATCCTCTTTTATGGTCATATTTGTGTACTAGTACTTTTTTAAACAACTTAAATAAACAGTTTTAGAACAAAAGGCAAATAATATTTTTCCTCTTTGGTAATAGTCCAGCTCTGATGTTCTTGTCATTTAATGCAAAGTGTTGATTATTACCTAGTTTTGGAGAAAGTAATGAGCAACTTTCTTTTGGAGTTAAAGATTCTTAATTGATTCATTTTTATTAGTTGAGCTCAAAGATACAAACATCCTATTGAAAGACTGATTTGCTTCATCCCCTATACTTAAGGAAGATAAAGAAGACAGTGTTGCTCAGCATGAGCAGGTTAACTGGAATTTCCATCAATCATTTCCTTTTTTTCTACCTTTTCTCAGCTTGATCCTTTATTTCCTTGTATATTTGGATTTAAAATAAAAATTACTTTCCTTTTTTCTTGGTGAGTCCATCATTGTAAAATGTAGATCTACATTTTATTCTTTTTTCTTTCTTTCTTTTTTTTTATATTGGGAGGTCTATTCCAGTACCAATTATTCTAACATGGCTGGATGCAAAAATCTGTTATCTTTCTTTTAGTTTATTAAAATTGTGATTTAAAACATATAACAAAATTTACCATTTTAATCATTTTAAAGTTACAGTTTAGTAGTGTTAACTATGTTCACATTGTACAATAGAAGATCGATTTTTTAAGGAATTGTGTTTCAGTAGTTAACTCTAATATTAATGCATACATATTTGTTTCATGTATTTCTATAGTCTTAACATATAGATTGTAGGTAGATGATGGAGAGATAGGTAGATAATATGTATATGTATATATTTATGTGTGAGTGTTAGTGTTTCCTATGTATTCTATTTTCTCATTGAAGGTAGGTTTTTTCCCCCATTTCCTTAAAGGTTTTGAAAATATTTTGATTTATTATTAACAGTACAGGGTTTTTGCACTTGATTTTGCCAAGTAAAGAAATCTATCATTCTCCAAACTCCGAGTAGTAATGTAGGTCAGAGAAACTACTTTGATTAATAGAAATTTGATTGAGTAAGCACTTTCTTTCCTAACAAGCTATTAATTAAGGTGGAAAAAGGATAAAGTGATAATTTGGACAGTTTTATCCCCTAATACTTCCTTCACATTTTTTCTTTTTCTTTGTGTTGATCTAACTATTCAGAAACATCCTTCTAACCTATAGTATATATTCTTCTTCCTATTTTGCTGTTATTTTCTCTCTTTCTCCAAAATCTCAATCACTTGATAGTTGAAAGAAGAACTATAATTTAACCCTTTGATTTTTCATCATTACTGTGTATAATTCAAGTGTGTAGAACATGAAAATTTCTCCCCTGAGTCACCCTTATTTCATCCAATAATAACATAATAACACTCTATGGCAGAAATAAAATGTTATTCATATATAAAAAACCACGTAAATATTTACAAAGCCCACACACAAAGTTCTGAAAGGCATTGAAATCCTGAATATTTCCTTACTTTTTTGGTAGAGAATTTAAATGAGCTATAATTAAAATAAGTTTCTATGAGCCATATTTTTATTCTTCGTTAGATATTTTATAAGGCCCAAAGCACAAGAACACAGTTTGTACAGGGTTTATTTGCTAGAGAATATGGATAAGAAAAAGATGATACTCAGAGTTACCATGTTGACTTATATTATGAGTAATTATCAAAGAAAGGTGAAAGAAATCTCCTGTGTTATATTGATAAACAAAGGAAAATAAATTATTTTAGAAAACTTTTGTCTCACAAATTCTCACTTTACCATCATTTACACTTTTACAGTCTGAATCATCATTTACCACTTTTACAGTCTGAATGGTTTCAGATTAGGTCATCTTGAAGGTCCTATCTCTCTCTAGTGCTCTGTGATACTAAATAAGGATGATGATATTGACAACTGACACTTTTGTGGTGCCTACTGTATTCCAGCGCCTATGTCAAGCTTTTTATGTGTATATTTGGTCATCATTTACATTTTGTCCTTGATGAGTTTAAATTGTTTTTCATCTCAATATACCTAATTTAGTAAGCGTACCTTTTTTTTTTTTTTAAATGGCAGAGAGAAAATCTTTGATGTTTCTTAGAAAATACAACTTGGAAACGGAAGTAAAGCATTTTATGAGACAGGGTTTCTGCATAAATGCTTAATATCTGTAGACCAATAACAAAGGGGATAGTTGCAGTAACCTGTTCCTTAAAATCTTTATTAATCTAGTATTAACCATTCTTGAGAGTTAATGAGAGGTGATTATAACCTACAAAGTTGGTTCCTGTGCTATGCTGTTATTTTTTTTCCCTTTATATTGAATAGTGTGGTAAGCCTGGTAAATATATTACAAGTTTTTTTTAATTTTCTCACCATTATACCTTCCCTCTTTAGTCACCTTACTAAAGTAAAAAAAAAAGAACATGTTACATCTTTTAATCTTAGAAATTATTTAATTAAGTAAGACTATACTGTTCAAGTAGAAAGTCATACTTTTTGTTAACTGATATTGATTAATCTGAATGTAGTTTTATTATGACTTTAGATACAAAATGGAATGAAGGCTGTATGACTAGTGAGCTTTTAATCATTCTTAAATTATCAGACTTCACCCATCATGCTTAACTTAGATATAACAGTTATTGCTTACTTACAGATAAATGTTAATATCAGCTATTGGGGAATTTTTGTACCAGACATTACCCCAAGCATTTCATAGATATTACCAAACTTTGTCTAATCTAAGATGTTCAGATGTTACTGTATAACATCTTAGTATAACACATGCTATAATTTCATTTACCGTTGGGAAAAATGTCATTGATTAAACTCTGATAAGTGCTTATTTATGATTTCTTTAATATGTATCCTGCTTTAAGGTATGTTAAAATATAAGAAAGCTTACATATTGAATCATTAAAATATAGCTCATTTACTTCTGACAACAACCCCATTATTATTATTCCCGTTTTACAGATAGGGAAACTGAGACACACAGAGGTTACATAAGTTGCTTGAATTCACACAGGTAGTAATTAATGGAGTTGGAATATTACCACAGCAACACAGTTTCAGAAACTACAAATTAACTGTCTAAGATAGTATCTAAGTCAAAAAAAATTCACAGGCTATTTGGCTGTCAGGGACCATGGAGATTATATATTCATACTACTGAAGCATAACTTGAGGACAAGAAAGATGGAGTAGCTTGCTCTAGGTCACAGAGCTAGCTAGTGATAGCACTAGAATGAGATCCAGATTTTCTGGATCCTGGGGTGATCTAATACTACCTCCAAGCTGCATAAAAAATTTTCCAAGCAAATGTTAGAGAAAATATTTCATATTTGAAATTTTTCTTAAATTAGATTTTAAATAAGGTGTGGAATATAAACAAACTCTCATATTTAAGTTTTCTCTTCCTGGCAGGCCTCTGTCATTGGATACACAAAGTACCTTAATGGTTAAAATAGAAGCATAGAAATGAATAAGTGCCCATTGTTTTCATGCCATAAATGCATATTACCTTTACTAAACATCTTTGATCTATAAATTTTATTGTCATTTCCCTTCTATTATGTTCAGTTCCCTTTACCCATGAAATAGCGTAGAATGCAAGCAGATAGAGCTTTGAGTGTCTGTATTCTGCAGTCTGTAGGAAAATGTCTCATAGTTATTGGAATTCACGCAAGACTGCATCTCAGTATGAGTAGCTGTTCCCTGTCACTGTTTTTGATGCTTGAGCTAAAGTATTTTTACAAAATGGTCTAGTGTTCAGTGTATGAATTCTTGAGATAAGGCTTTTCCCTTGTAGCAATGAAATCCGAAAATCAATGTCAGATGGAAATCTTAACTCTAAGAGTTAGGGAGATTGGGGGAAGAGTTTTAAAATAAGTATGAATTTTAGCCGCCAGACTTTGGAAATGTGGCAGTTATCGCAAGTGTGAAATTCGTGGGTGCAGATGGTTGATCAAGATATCCCAGGATGGACTACTATTATAAATCTCCCAACCAAAACTGGGAAAACAATTTTGATAAGAGAAATGTTTCTGACCTTTTACATAAATTTGTAACACAGGTTTTGCTGGATTAGGAGATACACAGAAGTTAAATTATCATTGGAATTTCATGAACATTCCAATTGTGTCATTTGCTGGAAATATTTAATAGAATAAAAATGTGTCAAATGGAGAGTGAAAGGAGCAAGTGGGAAGAGAATAGAACTAAAATGTATTATACTGTTACTATTATTGTGTGTCTTGCATTTCACGCTCATAACCTCATTTAGGACAGTAGTCTTCTGGGTAAGCATAATTTTCTCACCCTTAAAGATGAAGTTACAGGTACACCTTGAGCTTGAATTTCACTGAACCAAGGGCACACTGAGAGCGAGGAGAACAAGGGTTCTCCATATTTATAACTACAGCTTAGAACCCTCCTGTTTAAATTAATAATACCAAATGGAGTAACAGCAAAATGGTAACATTATCTGTTACTTTCTATTAAAAAGGGAAATATGAAAAGCCTTTGTCTCACTTGATCTTGGTCTTTCCTTTCCTTTTTTCTTTTCTGTACCTATCACAGATTAATCTTAACTAAGTAGATCTAAATAAATAGAACTTAATATATGAATATTACACTATATACTTACATTTTCCTGTTTTTGGTGTTTTATACAGTTGTGTGACCCAAACACATTTAACTTCTAATAAAATAAACATGTTCAGTCCTTAGAAGAGATATTACAGTTGATACCAGCTTTTACGTTAAAATAATAGGCAAATCATTTAGCAATAAGTCTTTATGTGTTATAATATTTGGGAGTAATACAGGTAATTTAAATTAATAGATTTTCACTAATAATAATAAATTAATTCACAAGCCAGTTTATTTTCGTTTTCTTTC